TGAAAAGCCTCACCTTTATTTTCATCACTAGCCATATGAGAATCAAAAGCATGTGGATGCAACATCTTAGCAGCATGCAAAATCCAGCATTGGGAGGAATTATCTCAGTTTATTTCACTCAGATAAAAACAGCACTATAAAACGTTTGGTACATTTTATTTAGCAACATACAAGAAAGAATATAAATCACCACGTGTTAAACTTGCCACAAAACAGCTGGAGAATCACCCCACTCCCTCCCCACAGGACTGTGGATCCAAGGTGGTACGTTTCTGAGGAAAACTTGGACCAGAGAGCTTGTGGTAGATCAGTTCAGACTGCTGCTTCTCGTTAAACTGTGTGGTATAAGATGGTCACGAAGTGCTCCAAGTTTTATTTCATACTAACTGTAGCTTTCTACATACCTTCTTGTGATTTCCCCAACCCTTGAGTTCCACCTGAATGCACAGCACCAGAAACAGAGGGATATCACGTAGCCAGGCTTCAAGTCCACTCATGAAAACTGGATCAACAGGTCACAAATTAATGTGCAAGATGGACAAGATAAATACACAGCATAAGCTAAACATGCAGAGCACCAGTTTCAGTGCTAGGTGCTGATTCTGTGGGCTCTCCCCCCACTATCCTTTAGCCCAAAGGAGCTCAATGTTAACATCACTGGCCAAAGCTACATCACGATGTCAGTGAATGAATGCAGACATTGTTTCCTTCATGCTAGCACTACATTAGCTCTCAGTCACCACCAGCTTTGAAATGTGTTTCTATAAGCCTTTAAGGCATGTAAAATTATGTATGTTCAGTGTAAAAGAAGTGCAGAATTTGCTTCTACCAGCAAAATATCTCCTCACCCCCATTGCTTGTTCCCTTACTTTTCACTCTCTCCCAGTATCCCTCTACCACTGGGGTGGACCTAAGTAGTCAATTACCAAATTAATTTTGATCACTTCCATGCTGCATTCATTTGCAGCCCCTTCTAAAATCTTTAGGGAACAAGCCCAGGAAGATCAGAAAAGCCAACAGAATTTAGGACTAAGGGGGAATATAGAGGACCTGGCCTCTATTTCAAAGTGGCCATAAATTCACCCACCATGTCCAGCTGATTATAGTTTCTTTCAGAGACTGTTTAATTTCAGTTCTCTTCACTCATTTTATCCTATGGATCTTACCATTTTTTGTAATAATCCTTTCCTAAGGATTCCAAAGATAAGGCTGAAGGTGTATTCAGGAATAAAGATACTCTAATTAATAGCTTTTTACACAATAATCCTCACAGACCCCCAGTGAAGCAGGCATGTATTAACTCCAGTTTTTGCACACAAGGAACTGAGGCACAGAGAATTTCCTCTTAACCAGTGACATGGGAAAAACTAGTTCCTGCCTTTTGACCCCATAATGGTTTCATTAGACCAGGCTGCCTCAAGTAAAAGTGAAACCAAGTGTGTTGTTTGTTTTTATTATAAATGGTCACTATTTCTACTGCGTGGCAGTAGACTTTTTTTTCCTAAAAATTTCAGGGTCTTCTCTAAGTGAAAACCATTACTCAGAGGACCTGGTTGCATACCAGGTTTTGAGGTGGATTGTTTCTATTGAGCCATGCAGTGAAGAATATGAAGATTTTGAAACAAAACCTCCAAGATATCACAAAGTGTACAGACTCTTATTTGCCATCACCTTAAATCACAAGGCCTCCTTTCTCTTTGTTGTTTGCTTCTTGCACTCATACAGATTGTGAGCAGCAAACCCAGGCAAGTCTCTTTAACTCCCCCATTCTCAGGCTAAACCATTAATGTAAGGTAGGATTTCCAAAAGCAATACAAATATTTAGAGTTTAATTTAGAAGGTATTGAGCTAAAATCATGGCAGGTGATCACACTTCCATTATCATCAGAACTTAAAAGGATTTTAAAAATAAACCAAAGTGACACATCTGGGATACACATCAGCATCCTTTCCAGCATCTTTTAGGGGTTAGATACTGAGGACCCCTCTGTACCCCAGCCTTAAGCTGCTCTGCCCTTTGGCAATTTGAGTGTCAGGACAACTCAACCATCACACGTAGGCACCATCCAGCATGTCCAACAGAAGGTCAATACAGGACAACCCATTTCCCACACAGACCCCAGAATTCCCCAGAGAAATTCAGCTGACATCAGATTAAACTAGTATTTGTGAAGAGACTTAAAGTGTCTCTGTTAACCTCCCACTTTTCTCCTGCTCTGGAGTTAATGCCTCACAAATATGATCCTTTACCTTTATCCAGTGTCAAACAAGTGCAATTTTTTTCCCCTCCCCTCTTTAAACACATCTCCTTGGATGAAATGAATATTCTTCAGTTACAGTATGGATCAGAGGCTCCAAAAATTAACTTGGTTGGTTATCAGCTCAAGTCAGGGGAAGCCAAGCAAAATGTGCAGCTTGGGACTGACAGCTCAAAATAACTGCAGAGGAATTTTTTTGTTTTTCTTACTGGGGATGATTTCTCAATAATAATAATAAATTCCTGCCAATTTTATAACTCTGGTAGTCTCTTAGCATCTGAAGCAGCAATGACAAAATCTTCATAGAAGTATTTGTGATGGAGGGTCCAGGCAATGCCCCTGCTTAACTGGTGAACTGAACAGGACCCAGACTCCTCTTCATCATGAGGGTCTTTCTCCAATGCCATTGAAAACTGTAACTCACCACCAGTCTATCATTAACTCCAGATACAGGTTAAAAAAACCCAAACAAACAAACAAACAGCATTAGCAAAACCTGCTTGAAATGTTTTCCCTCAAGGCTACAGAAAAATGAGCCAAATTCTTTATTCCACTAGTAGTGAAACCACCCCCCCATGGCAACAGTTACATGATCACATTATCTCCAGTCTACCTCAAGTCCATATAAAGTCACATTTATTTAGACTTGACACATGAGGCTTCCAGTGGTGCTTCTGGTTTAGGCTCCAGCTTCTCTGGGAATTCTAGTTTTTCACAGATTGTTTCCTTTATGGGTAGATATTGAGAGATCTCATTGGGTTCTGTGAACAGGGAAGGTGGAACATGCTAAAAAGCAAAAAAATTTATAAAGAAACAAGTGAATGAAAGGATGTGGAGCCAAAAAAAAAAGGTATTCCAAATCAACTTCTACAGACAATTAATCTCTAATTTACCTGATTTAAACACCTGCAGTCAGGCATGAGTATAAAAATATATCTTGTAACTTCAAATGTACATACAAATGGGAGATCATTAAAGAATAGATTTTTTTTTTAAATATTTGTCTTTTGAATCTAATAAAGAGGCTTTCTGAGGTTCTAATTCTAGATGAGACTAGGATGGCCACAGTATTCCATGCTTAATGTCTTCTAGCCATTGCAATATATTCACTGGAGTTGCTTGGATTCAGCTATTGATAATTGATACACCTCAAAATATAACTTAGTTTTATGAAGTCCACCACAGACATTTATATGAATTACTAAAATTCATTGGATTTTAATTCCATATTTGAAGAAATTAGGTGGTTTCATTAAGTTCATCAGTATCTTTCTCTGGACATTCCTAAATATTACTGCACTTACAAGACATTGGATGGGGGGGAAAAAAAGAATAAATCTACACTAAGCAAACTACCTTCAAACTTTCTAATAATATTCTTTAGGAAGTGTATTCAGAGCTATTAAAATGCAACTTGTATTTTGTGTACAATCAACAGCTGCAGCTCAAAATGTGCCACAAGTTACTTGAAGCCATTTTTAAGGTGGGCTATTAAACTTATCTGAGAAAAACTGAATGAGTCTATTAACAAACAGATCTTAACCCCTAGAACTACTTGCAGTCCTGAAATTTAACATGCTGGGACATGGACTGCCTGATTTTCTGGCTGAAGAGTTCTTTAAAAAAACCAAAATTATAAAAAAAGAAAATCTTGTTAACTCAAAAGTAGAAAAATAACCCAATCTGAGCATTTACAAATTCAAATCTGCCCTGAAACTACCAAAATTAATGGTGCATAGCAGAGAGGTGTTTTTTTGCATCCATTTCAAAGCTAAGAAAGAATGACTGACACAGCATTTCCTATGTTGACCATAAAACAATGATAAAGGAGCCAAAAAAAAAAAAGAATTAAACCCACAGTACCTTTAAACTTGCTATTTTGCTTTCTCTGGAAGTATATTCTCTCAACATGTAGGCCTTGTCAGCCTAGTGGGAAAAAAAAGATGCAAAAATAAATTACAAAATTATCACCTAGTAGTATCAGTACAAAATAAGCAGTTAAAATACATTGCATTGAGGAAGCATTTGAATTTGGTTGACTATAGATGTTCACCTGGGAGCAAAAATGTACATTCACATGCACAAAGAGAAAGATCTTTAGTAATGTTCACTGTCCCCAAAATCACCTTTCTGTGTGCAAGCATGGAAAAAGAAAATTCTAGGAGTGAATATGCTTGTTAATCTTCACTCAGCTAGAACTCCTACATCAGTAGGACTGCAGCTAGACAGAATACCCAAACCACCACTGCTACATTCTGTATTATTTATGAGCCATTAGTTATTTGTACATCCAAACCTGCAGTCATAGACAAGCCAAAAACATTGACTTGGAGACAAGGATAACAGCAATATCACACCATTTACCATTGCCTAGTCTTCCTCTTGTATTTCCTCTCTAATCTGCATCAAATATATTTGAATGATGACTTCACATGAGCCTCTCTGCTCATCCAGTACTTAGCTCCAGGGCACCCAGCACTTGGTTGCTACTTCAGCACCATCACAATGATAAAATAGACTTGCAAGTTCAGTTCAGGTCACCTCTATGCCCCCAAATATCAGTATTAAACTACAGGAGGAGCAGCAACGTGGCAAGAGAGGATCTGTGACACACTCATGCTGGTGAATAAGGGTTTACCTCGTGATGAAGCCGTGTGTCGTTCATCCTGATCAGCACCCCATCAACTCTCAAGAAGAACCTCAACAGCACAAAGAAGCTGGAAGGCATGACTCTCTGCAGGAACAGAGAAGCTCCACTCAGCATGTTACAGAGTTTTACTTCACCCACACACTGATCTGTATCCCATATTCACAGTGAAAGAGAGTATGAGGAGATTTTGGAGAGCAGGCAGACAGTGTCTCCAGAGAGTCTTAGGCAGGATGCAGAATGAGGGAGAAGATTGTTCCCCAAAGCAACTGACAGATTTCAAGGCAACAGTTTCCAGTAAGATTATATTTCTAAGAGGGAGGATAAAGAACTTGGCATTTCAGACTTTAAATCCCAGAAGGAACACCACTCAAAGTCACTGCATCGTGCACACACTGGGCAGCTGAGTCACCAAGTGTCCTGCCAACACCTCTCAGTCAGTACTCACTATTTTCACACTCAAACTGGATACTCCATGGTCGTGGAGTTCATCTTCAAAGAGCAGTACTTCTTCAAAAAACATAATTTGTTCCCTGGCTTTTAACTTCTCTGTATTTATGTGTTCTGTTGTAGGAACAACCTGAGGAAAAACATTAATAACAGTTAGTATATTAATTTGTTGCTGAGCTGCATGAACTTTGTCCTGATCTTCTAAATTGCTGGTTTTAGAAAGGAAAAAGCCTTTAGCCCCAAGCTTCTAGGAGAAAAAGTTAAATTTCAAACCAAAGTTTCCACCTGAACAGGATTCTGATAAAGCTCTTCTGTGGAAATAATTACCTACCTGCTTTCTATCTCATGGTCTCCATCTACACTGCTGCCTGAATTATGGGCCAACAAGATGTTGTTTATTTCTCTGCTGCACTTTCAATTCCAAAGTAACTCAAGTGATCTAGAACTAATGTAATCCTAGTGAATTAATATAGATGATCTGCTTAGTAGCAAGCCAGCTGTATACAGTAATGACAAGCTGGGAACTTCAGTCTTATTTAAAAGTAAATAAAGACAAGGGAGGACCTGTGAGCTTAAAGATAAGAAGTTCCTGGTGTGGAAAACCATAAAGCCACTGAAATCAGCCACATCTACTTATGTGCTTAGACAGGGAAGTAACAGAGTTAAGGTAGTAGAGAATGACACAGTTGGTCCTTCTGTTGTGCATGATGAGCTCTGGGCTTCAGAGGGGCATCCAGCAAGCACTAAAGGTTCCTCCATGCTTTACTCTCTTAGTAAGTGCTCACTAAGGAACACAATGGCATTCTTTTATATCATCCTAAAATGCCTGAAAAAAAGCCCTCAGTGTATTGGGTTTGCATGGCAAGGTTTTGGTAGTGGGGAGGCTGCAGGGGTGCCTGCTGTGGGAAGCTGTTAGAAGCCTCCCCTATGTCCTGTATAGATAATGCCCAATGGCTCCAAGATGGACCCACCATGAAAACATGTTTAAGAAGGGGAAAAAGTTACTGTGCAAGAGCAATTGCAGTGGGAGCTGCAGGGGTGCCTGCTGTGGGAAGCTGTTAGAAGCCTCCCCTATGTCCTGTATAGATAATGCCCAATGGCTCCAAGATGGACCCACCATGAAAACATGTTTAAGAAGGGGAAAAAGTTACTGTGCAAGAGCAACTGCAGTGGGAGAGGAGTGAGAATGTGTGAAAGAACTCTGCAGACCCCAAGGTCAGTGAAGAAGGAGGAGCTCCAGATGCCAGGAGAGATTCCCCTTGCCCTGCTGAAGACTCTGGTGAGGTAGGCTGTCCCACTGCAGCCCGTGGAGGTTAATGGTGGAGCAGAGCCAAGGAGGACCCCACACTAGAGCAGCTGGATGCCCAAAGGAGGCTTTGACCTGTGGGAGGACCAGCCTGGAGCAGGAGCTGTGGACCCATGGAGAGAGGAGCTCACATTAGAGGTTTGCTGGCAGAAACCATGACCCTGTGGGGGACCCGTGCTTGGAGCAGTTTTATGAAGAACTGTAGACCATAGGAAGGACTCACACAGGAGAAGTTCACAGAGGACTTTCTCCCATGGGGGGGATCCCACACTGGAGCAGGGGAGGAGTATGAGGAGGAAGGAGTGCGAGGAGGAAGGAGTGCCAAAGGCAAGGTGAACTGAAAGCAACCCCCACTCCCCATTCCCATGTGCTGCTCAGGGGAGAAGGCAGAGAAAACAGGAGTAAAGTTAAGCCTGGGCAGAAGGGAGGGCTGAGGGGGAAGGTGTTTTAAGATGTTGGGTTTATTTCTCATTATCCTAATCTGATTGGATTGGTAATAAATTAAACTAATTTGCCCCAAGTCCAGTCTGTTTTGCCCAGAATGGTGACTGGTGAGTGACCTCTCCCTAGCCCTTATCTTGACCCACGAGCCTTTTGTTGTATTTTCTCTCCCTTGTCCAGCTGAGGAGGGGAGTTAGTGCAGCTTTGGTGGGCACCTGGTGTCCAGCCAGGCTCAACCTACCACACCTAATTATTAAAGTTATTAAAATGAGTGATGATTTCATGAAGATAACAAAAAATTTCTATAAAAGCCCAAGCTATGCTTTGAAGTCAGAAACTATGCAGCATGAAAGATTTTACAGAAACCTACTGCAAGGTAAATGACAGCTTTAAAAAAAGAAAAAGAAGAGTTTGTGTTTGACTGAAACACTGCCACCAGCATTTAACAGAGAGGAAGCATTTACCTTTAAGGTTGCAGTGTCTCCCAGCAATGTCCCTTATTTAAAGAAAGAAAAAGAAGAGTTTGTTTGACTGAAACACTGCCATCAGCATTTAACAGAGGGGAAGCATTTACCTTTAATGTTGCAGTGTCTCCCAGCAATGTCCCTTTGTAGTCTGTGGTGTAAGTCCAATCATATGGCTTGACAACTTCCTTCGTGTGCTCAGTCTCACTCCTCAAGGAGAGCAGGAGAAAAAAGCATGTTTTGTAGTGAAACCTCACCTAAGAGTCCCATACTCTTTGAGAAGAAACACAGCAGCATTGCCTGTGCTACAGTGATGATGTCAAGACTTAAATCATACAGTATTGCTGCTTTCACAACATCTGTTTCCATAAAACATGAGCAAATTGCTGCCAGAATTCCTGTGCTAACACTATGAGTCAAAATAAAGATTTTAGTTCACAAAAATTGGTATTTCAGGATGATTTTTTTCTTTAAGTAGGCAGAAAGCAGTTGGCTGATAACACACAGCAATCATTAACACTGCTGTTTGCCTTTACTTTTCATGAGAGCTCTCATTTCTCTCTGCACTTTATTTTGAGGTGTTCTACAACTGATTTGTTGAACAGGAAGCAGCAGTGACTTGTGTGATCAGCCACTGGTAGAACCAAGTGCAACACAGTCTTCCTTCAGGAACTCAGTCTGTCCTCTGCACTACTTCATGACAGTTTCACACACAACACACCAGTACTTGCCCACTTGTGATCAAATACTGTACCTGCTCTCTTGCCACTCCTCTGCACAAGCCACTTTGATCATACCTTGACAATTATTGACACATTTTAAAGCATCTGTTGCATTGAACTCAATTCCAAAACCATGATCATGCTGTATTCTTAGGACGTTGTCTCCAAACATCATCTCTGGCAGGGAAGGCATGTGCAATTCATCAGCCAGTCTGCACAGAAGAACAGAAGGGCCATGAAGGGAGAGCAGGCAGCTACAGCTCAGTGAAAGCAGTCCTTGTTTTGGAATAAGTATTCCTTGGACCACAGCAATGTAGAAGACACACTTCTCAATATGTTCTGCAAAATTTTGCTGTTTCCCCAGCTTAAAATTGTGGAGTTGTTGATCCACAGTGACTTTTCCACCACAAAAGTATTCCTAAAACATTCCTTCTCTATCAGGCTTGTACAAATGTCTCACATCTGAGGAATTAAGAAAACAAAACCCAAAACCTGACAAGCATGAAGTAGCATCTCTCAGCCTGTTGTAGCAAACCCCTGTGTGCTCCATGAACTACTTCAGCAGGCACCCAAAAAGAAGTTTGGGGAATGAACACTCCTTGTCAGCACGTTTGAACTCACTACCCAGTGGTCCCTACCTCTATATCTAGAAGGCTACAAAAAGGGGCTGAAAACAACCCTGAAAACTACCCTAACCAAACAAGTATGATCCCTGCAGAAAACCTCAAATCAGCCTATTTCACCTTTTATTTTACATCAGTCTGTGGATACATTTTTACAGATACTGGATAGAAATGCACATGGAGGTGGAACACCACTTTATATTCATCCTGATCTCACTGAACAAAAGGCTTCATAGAATTTTTTTCCTCCCTACCACTACCTACTGTACTTACCAAGATCAAAAAGAAACACATGACAGCTGGAGAGAGAAGAAAACCTTAGGAAATAGGCTAATTATACAATACTATAAGGAAATACAGTAATTATGAGGGAGGGCAGGGAGGGAAGTGTCCTGATGGCTGCTTTCACACAGATAATTAGGTGTTCCTGAACAAAAGGAGTTATTGCTGTAACACTGCAGACAAAAGCACAACTGCTGAAGCTTAGGCACAGGCTAAACACAGACCTTTCCCCAGAGAAGGCAGAACAGCAGCATGAAATTCTCATTTTATTGCCAAATATGGACCCCTTGACCTGCAAAGATCAACTCCAGCACAGGAGGGAGTCCTTGGCTGTGGCACATTTAATCCTTCACCTTTCTAAAGTGGTTGCCAAGGGGTTTTTGTGCTATATGTTTGCCAGAAATCATGCTCCTATGGATACTAATGGTGTTCTCCAAGCAATAAAACAGGCAAAATGCCAGGAGAAATACATTACAAAAGGAAGCTGACTAAAAGCACCACATCTGGAAGGTTCCTGACTATTCTGCTTTGAAGTGGAGGAATTGCTTTAGGGAATCTCATGCCAGATACCAACCTCTACAGTTAAATGACTCATTTTAGACTTCCCTACCCTGCAAGATCCTCTGTGTTCTTTCAAGCTGGTGTTGTGCTTCTTGCAACTTGGCTTTTCAGCCTTTGCAACCCATTCTGAAAGCTGTGTCCATCAAAAACACCTAAACAGGTAAAAGTGATTTCTGGAAATGACAGAAGTGACCTTTTATGTGACCTTCAAGAAGCTGCACAGATCAGCAGAGGAGTACAGCGTGCAATTTGTCTTAACATCCTGCTGATCTTAATTTTTATCCAACAAAATCTTCACAAACATGCCATAAAAATGGGAAACTCTGATAACAGGCCTCCTTCCCCTGCAGGACACAGGGACAGCTTAGCTGGAGGTTCAATCCTCATGACAGAAAAATTATTAAACCACAGGATTCAAGTTTTCTAACCAAGTGTAACATTTCAGGATGGGTGACTTTA